CTGGGCCCAGTACTGACCCCTGAGGGACACCACTAGTTACCGGCCTCCAACTAGACTCAGCGCCGCTGATGACAACCCTCTGAGTTCTGCCATTCAGCCAGTTCTCAATCCACCTCACTGACCACTCATGCAGCCCATAGTTCCTGAGCTTCCCTAGGAGGATATTATGGCATCAGACATTAAACTCTCAAAAAATTACGTGTGGCAGAAAATTAGGACTTTGTTGAGGACAGGTACAGTTAGTTTAGATGTTTGCCACTACTATTATTGCTGCTTGTGTCCAGGAATAATTACTGGACCAGCAGACAAAAGTTAGTCTCATCTAAAACAGAAGGGAGAAAGCAATTTGGTGGGAGGGGGAGGTGAGGGGGCGTCCACAGCTTCTCTGGGCAACCTGTTCCAGTGTCTCACCATCCTCATAGTAAAGAATTTCTTTCTTCTATCTAATTTAAATCTACCCCCTTTTGGTTTAAAGGCATTATCCCTTGTCCTATCATTACACGCCCTTGTCAAAAGTCCCTCTCCAGCTCTCTTGCAGGACCCCTTCAGGTACTGGAAGGCTGCTGTAAGTTCTCCCTGGAGCCTTCTCTTCTCCAGGCTGAACAGCCCCAACTCCCTCAGCCTGTCCTCATAGGAGAGGTGTTCCAGCCCTCTGGTCATTTTTGTGGCCTCCTCTGGACCCTCTCCAACAGGTCCATGTCTTTCCTGTGCTGAGGACTCCAGAGCTGTACACAGGACTCCTGGTGGGGGTCTCATGAAAGCGGAGCAGAGGGGCAGAACCACCTCCCTCGACCTGCTGGCCACGCCTCTCTTGATGCAGCCCAGGATAGGGTTGGCTTTCTGGGCTGTGAGCACACACTGCTGGCTCCTGGGCAGCGCACGATCACTCTGAAACACAGGGTGCCAAGAGGTGTTTCAGCAAAGTAATCCTTTTAACCCAGGTTCCCCAGCAAATAGAGCACTGGCAACAGTATTCTCTTCTGTAAAGATTTCTACACAAAAAAGGGGCAGCTGAATGTGTGGGGAAAACCCTAAAGATAAAATAAATATAAAAGTTAGCAGCCGATCGTCAGTAAAGTGTTGGAGTTTTTTGAACTTTCCTTGGATGGTAAGGTTTCATTTTAAAATTTAGCTTTTAAATCACAGGGGACACAGGTCATTGCCTAACAGTTTGATTTTTTTTTCCATTATTCAATTACTTCACTATTATAAATTTCAAAAAATTAATAATTAGAGTAAATGTCTCATGGTTGAAAATATTTTTTTTTGTTTGGGGCTCAACTCTACACCATTAAAATAAATGAAATTTTTTAATATTTATTTTTCTCTATATCTGTGAGACAGCAAAGAACTCTTCCAAGAAAAATAAAAAAAGGATAATTTTAATTGATTTTACATTGCAGAGTAGAACGCATACTGATCTCTTCAAAAGAGAAATGCATTGGTCCTACTGCCTATCTTTTATAAAAGTATTAGAATATACTATCAGTTTTCAGTATTCTTATTTGCTTTGGTAAAAAGGCATCGTGATCATAACTGCAGTACAGTATCTGAAATTTGATTTACATATGAGAGTTTGATTGGGTGTGTACTATGTGGTGCTCGTATTATGCTCCTCTGAAGGAGCTCTGACGGAGACCATAGTATTGTGTTCATTATGCCAGCTTTGTGACTTCAAGAAGGAAAAACAGGTACCTGAATATGAACAAGAAAAACAAAGGGTAGGAAAAAGAACAGGCAGAACAGATAAAGAATGAGTAGGATAAGTGAGTGCTTTACAAATGAAAGCAGATGTATGAAATTACAAGCTGTCGGATCAGCAACGGAAATGAAGATGATAAAGTGGTTCTCTACACAGATTATAATTATTCATTTTGCCCAGTCCTGTATCTTTTCCCCATAATCCTCTTGTTGAGAGAGGAAAGGTACAGTAGGATATGAGGCTTATTCACATGAAAGAAAAAAGTAAAACATTTAAGTCTTTCTCTCTGCAAACAGTCCTTTATTTTGCCTTTTATTGATTCAAGATAATTTTGTATTTGTAACGGTCCTTTCTGGTGTAGAGGCCTGATTAATTAAAAGTATTTGTTACTACAGCAAAAGTTCTCAGATTAGTAAAGTTTATTAAAAATTTATTTACAATTACTATTGTTGGAGGCTGTCTTTATGTGGCAGAGTGCAAGCATCATTAACAGGCATTGCTTTGACAGCTGTGGCAGATGGATTGCTTGGATTTAGATGGTGCAAAAGAAATGAAGTAGTTTACATAGACCTGCTTGAAAAGATGTCTTTAATGCACAATGATAACAAAATGAAAAACTTAAGCAAAGCATGCTTAAAATTTCCTGAATAAGTAAAAAATTCTAATAAAGTTAACAGTATATTGTATTTTTAAGTATTTATGAAATTGAAATCTAGCCTTTTCACTTTTTCCTGAACATTTTGTGAATAGTTTCTGATTTACAAGAAAACAAGGAGTTGCTGACATCACTTTACATATGTGTATATATAAGTGCATGGGCATGTATGTGTATATGTACATAAGAACAATGCAAAAGATATTTCAGCAAAGAATTGCAGAGTGGGAAAATTTGTCATAAAAACAGGACTGAAGGTAAAAATTTGTCTTCTCATGAATTATCATACTGAAATGTGGGTGTCTGCAGATGAGTGTCTGAAAAGTCAGCATCCTTTTCGGAGTGGAGGACTAGTCCTTCAGCATCTGTTGACTGTGTTGCCCTGACCTCCACTGACTCAGGCAGGCTTTAGGTGCACAGCTACAGAGATCTAAATTTAGGCATCTAAATCTGGAGCTAACATAAATGTCTGTGACATCAAGTCAGTGGTAGGTTTAGCATTGTCCTTAATGATATAGGACCAAGTGTAGTGATGAACCTTGATTATGCAATGTCTTCTTTCACTCTGATCACTGCTTGAGTTCTAAGAGACTTAACGTGGGAAAAGAGATGAATCTGAACTGTAATGAATCTATTGGAAAAGCTACTGTTTGCAATATCAAAATAAGTTAAGTAATATTTCACACTTTTTTCTTCTCCTTTTTTTTTTATTTTCATTTTAGTGATTTCAAGTAATTATCAGACCTGTTTGGGACTTCTGATGCATTATCCACCTATTGGAGATGTTCACTCCCTTATCCTAAGAGCACTTTTTCTCCGAGATCCAAAGGTGAGATGCCTCCTCTGTAAATACAGGGAATAAACCTCTGTAATAAAATGTTCTAAATACTGTGAAGTTAATAACAACCTACATTTTGGCAACTAAACTGTAGTTTCAAGTTTCTTCTTACCTGACAAAAAAGCTGAAGGGAAGAATTGGTAACCAAGAGTAGAAAAAAGTTATTTTACTCTTTAAAGGATAGTATCCTACTACTTTGCTAAAGTTATTCAGGAGCTGTGGTAACTACAGATGTTTATGATTTTTAGAATAGCTTGGTATTCAGCACAGACATCTTTCATAATAAAGTATACTTTTGAGGCAAGCAGTAGTATTTTGTGTAATAACCTAGTAAGCTGTGTGGATACTGTCATGCAATTTCATCCGCAAGACCTTTTTCATGGGATTTCTGCAGATTAATCACTGTTAATCCTTAAAGCACTACCTCTGCCCAATATATAATAGTTATGTGATGGTTTTCAATTAAAAATGAGTCTGCTGTTACAGCCTGAAAAGATTCACATGAATAAAATATATAAAATCATAAATTTTATGTTACATATTACTAGCATACTGATATACTCATCTATACTAAAAAAAAGCAAACTTCTTGCTGTTTTAGAATGACATGCGTATACGTGCGGATATAATATACAGCAGGTATTCACAGTATAGTGGATAAAGTGTTTGAGATGAAGCTGTACACAGTAATCTTTGCAGTACTCAGAACTTTGGCAGATAGCAGAATTTGTGCTGCTGGTTTTGAACCATCTTTGTGCATGTCCCATTAGTAGGCTGCCAGTGTAAAGTCTGGTTTCCCTCATCTTCTTGATGCATGTCACCTTTGAAAGTGAAAAATTCATCACTTCTGCACTCTGACTGTCTTCTGCAAAATTTCATTCAGTACCAATGTTTACACTTTTATGGATTAAGAAAAAAATTGTCTCTTTGTTGCTATATCAGTTTTTTGCAGAGATCTGCATCCTTTCAGCTGCATTCTTCATTCCTCTCGGGCACAAAGATTTCTTTCATGATGAGAAGTAAAGTATATCGTCTTTTCAGTGTGTAAGAAAGTTTGTTGTGTTAGATCTCAGGAATCTTTCTTCAGATTTCGGCAGCAGTCTGTGAAATCAGACTGCCCAGCATTTATTTATGTACTCTCTTAGCAAAACAAGAGAGAAGTGTTTTTTAAAGGGAAGATACAGAGCGAGGGCGGGGGAGGGGGGAATTTTGCTAAGGTAACAAACTAAATCCAATATATAATCTGTCATTTATTGAAGGTACATGTTAAAAGATAGAATAATTATTCAGCTGTCCCTCGAAGCATCCTAGGCTGTATACAAGATATCCTACCAGCTTAAGGGGGCAAAAATAAACCACCAACTTCCAATGAAAAAACCTTGATCACTATTCTGCTCCTTATGCCCTTGTCTCTGACAGAATGAAATTGTCTGGCTCATAAGGGCTCAGTCTCCTATTAATTAACATTCTCAGGTGTGCCTGGAACACCTTTCAGAAAAATACTGGATGTAGTTCCTACCATGTCTTTCAGGTAGTTCTCCCTTCACTCAGGTGAATGAGTACTTCAAGCTCTTTCAAGCAAAGACTGCTAGTTGTTTTGTCAATTTAAATAAAATGAATTACAATTGTTCCTTATTTCTGAGCTGTATTTATTTGCTTGGGAAGTACCCTGAAGCTGGGATTTCCAGAGAACAAAGAGCGCTAAGGGGCTTCCAGCCACCTCTCGTTTTACGTTGGGTCTTTGGGTTGAAACTGCATAAACAGATCTGGACTTCTTACAGTAAGAAAGTTAAATGATTCTAAAGGATCACTGTAAAAAAAAAAAATGCCTCCTCGTCTGAGAAAGAAATGTATTTTAAATGCTATGACTTGAGTCTCTGCTTCTTATCTTTCCTTAGATACAATTTTCACTTATGTATCTTTAAGCTTATGTTGGTTCAATTCAATGTATTTCTGAAATGGAAGTCTTGTTATTCTGTAAGACCTACACATAAAAATTTTCCAAGTCTGTCAAAATTTTGCATTACACATAATGAAAGGGAAGACTCAACAAGACATCATAGGTGCTATAGGAGCCTGAAGTCAGTACACAGATTATATACCAATAGAAGTGGGAAAATTAGGATACCTTTTTTTTGCTATCTGCATAAAGATAATTCAGTTTGTCTTTATTCCCTGAGCAGATAAAAGGAGATTGGAAGAAAAGACAAGGAGATTTTAGTCAGTAGTGTAACTTGTAAGTGATGATTAGCAAATTCAGTGCTTAATGGTTTTTCTTCCTCCTTTGATGTTTTCCTGTGCATTTCTCTGTCACCAGCTTCTAGTTTCTAATGGGAAATTACATTTGGTTCAGTGCAATTTAGATCTCCTGAGCCAGGGCTGAGTTGTTTTGTGTGGCATTTCTTACAAGATTTTGCTTGGGTTTTAATATGTGAAGTCGGGGAACTCTTCTGTGGGAGACTGTTGCATGGTCCAGTGGCTTATTTCATTATTTGTTGAACGTAGCGAGAATGTTTAGTGTTGTTCCAAATATCTGGCAGAGGTTTGCGCTCTGCCCCTTGGAGCTTTAAATCTCAGCTGGACAAGAAATGCGGTTTAGAAGTCATGAACAGGGACAAACAGGAATCTGCCTCTTGCAGGTTTGTTAAAATATATTGTCTATGGGATTATTTTTGCAGCTAGGTAAATGCCAAATAATCTCACTGAGGGAAAGTTGTGGGGTATTTGGACTAAGAAAGGTTCATTGTATGTACGTAAAACTGAAAGGTTCTTAAGGAACAATCATGTCATAAATGGTGAAGTAGATAAGATGGACCTGATACAGCCTTTCCATCCATAACTTCCAGTTCTGGAGGTAATCTGGGTTTGCACGTCGAATAGCACCCATTATTTCTTCTGTTTCCTTGGTCTGACACAACAGATATCTCCTCCTTACTTATTTGTCTTGTAGGCTATCAGGAGGGCTAAACTTCGGTTTGATGAACCTGTCGCATTTTGTTTGCTTCTTTTCACTGCAGTCATCGCCAGGAGAGCAACCTAAATGTCAAAAGAAAGCTATACTTAAAAGATGGGTGGCATATTTTTCTTACAGATGGACAAATACAATTTCCTGACCTTTTGTGGAATCAAACCTTAGCTAAAGCCTTAGCATTATCCAGTAATGACAATAATATGAAAAGTAATTACTGCTTGCCGTTAATCTAATGCATGAAGCAGTTCTCCTTTTCACTCTGTGAACCCCAGCTGGCAGTTGGGATGAAAAGACGTTTTAGATACTACATCGCTGATACATTCCAGTGCCATGGAAGAGAAATGCACATCTCTGTAATAGCTCAATACAAGTTAATGCACCTGTCTCTGAAGGGGGCCCTAAGAGATAATAATTTTACAGGCATGAGTATGGATCAATGCAGAATAACTGAATTTCAGCCTTTTCTGCATTTGGCTAGCTCCAGTACGCAGGAAAACATAGAATGAAAAGCTCAAATCAGTGTTGTTGTCTTTGCATATGGTGATAAAGTTAACCTGCTTAGCAGAGTATTTGTTTCACATTTCTAATCTTTGAACAGATAATTACCTCAATTATTTATATGAAAGTAACTTCTATATAATAACAGTCCTTCTGAACACAAAAGTAGAGCTTCTTATGGAAGAATGGGCTATTAAAAGTATGTCTGTGTGAAATGAGAAAATAAGGGAATGTTTTTTTGTGTATGTCCAAAAGCATTTACTCAAGGTGTGTCTCTGTGTATTGAGTATCCCACAAGTGGCCAATTTTTTTCATTTTTTTCCTTACCAAAACCATTGAGTACCGTTAATTTTCAAAGCAAAGGCTGTGAAATTAAGTAGTAGAGATACAGAGACAGGGCAGTGGAAAAATATACAGTGATTAAAAAACATAGTTCTAACTAGAGTTGTTCAAATAAAAAAAAATTAAAAAACTCAATTAGAAACAAAAGTCATAGAAAATGTGAACATATTGTGTTCCTTAAATAACCAGATGTTCTTTCCTTCCTGAAGGCAGCCAGGGCTAGGAATAAAAGGTTTAAAACTATTGTTTTAAGTTAACTGTGAATTTTGCAAATCTGTTTTCACCCTTTAGCAAATAAAATTCTAATACAGCAACATAAGCAAAGTAATTTTCATCTTTGGGTGTTCTTATTTGTATGTTGTTCTGTGTTGAAGTGTTAGCCTTATCACAATGACTTACTAGAAAACTGAAGTGCTACATAGGATATTACAGTTTTACATTGCACACTAAAAACCTGACAACCATCCTTTGTCTGAAAGCTTGCTGTATTTATTCTTAATATTTTTGTAAAATTATTTTGCTTTCAGATATTCTAATGTAGTGAGTTATCCACTGAGCAAGCTAGTTCAGAGCTTAGTTCAATGGAGACACCTTTTATAAGCCATCATTCAAAAAAAGAAGGAAGAAAGTGGTTTTGCGTGGTTGATGGGAATTAGTTATGCGAACAATATTCTAGTTACTGCTGCTGCTATTTTCTCAGCGTTGTATTTTAAGCTATTTGCTGACATTGAAAGTGGCCGTATAATAATATTAAATTCTAACTAAATCCATGGTGAAGCATACATGACATTTCAAAGAAGTCGTATTAGTTCACGATGACTGAAATTACAGGTACTGTCAGAAAACTTAAGCAATAATATGTGGTCATGATCACTCATATAACGATTAGTCAGAGAAATCTGCATTCCAGCTTTTAACACTTTTCACAATCTGAGCAATGTGTGACAAGGGGAAAACACATTACTGAAATTTTGAACTGAACTCTTTGTACATTTATTTTCAGCTGAGTTTTCTTCTTAAGTAGCTGCCACCGTCTCAGAGTTTTCTCCAAGCTAGTTTCATGTGCCTGAAAGGCTGTTGAGTTTCACTTTCTTCTTCTTCAGATAAATTCTTTTCTATACACTCATTAACTGAGGTGCCGCTGCAGAGCTGCAACTGTCCTTTGAAAGCTGCCGTTATG